AAAAAAAAAAAAATTTAGAACATTGGTAGCATTACAGATTTTAAAGTTCAAACCTGCAAGCTAGTACTTGTTTAATGTTTTGTACTGAGTGGCGCACATTGCTTATGGCATTCTGTGATACAGCGACATGTATGTACACACACACACACACACACACTGCACAGTGTGTGCACAGACTGGACACCCACACCAGATACCACACACCAGACTGCACGTAGGCCCACCCGCACACTGCACATGTACACTGCATACATGCACACATCAAACCACACAGACTGCACACACACTGTCCAGAGCACATTACACTGTACTGCACACTGCACACACTGCACTGCACACACACTGCACCACACACACTGTACTGTATACACACTGCACCACACACACTGCACTGTATACACACTGTACCACACACACTGCACCACACATACTGTACCACACACACTGCACCACACACACTGCACCACACACTGTACTATACACACACTACAACACACACACTACACTGCACACTGCACTATACACACACTGCACCACACTGCACCACAGACACTGGACTGTACACACACTGCACCGCACACTGCGCTATACACACACTGCACCACACTGCACCACACACACTGCACTCTACACACACTGCACTGTATACACACTGCACTGTACACACTGCACCACACACACTGCACTATACACACACTGCACTGTATACACACTGCACCACACACACTGCACCGTACACACACTGCACTGTATACACACTGCACCACACACACCACCACACACTGCACAGTACACACACTGCACAGTGCATACTCTACACCACACACACACTGCACCATTCACACTACACCACACACTCTCTGGTGCACACACTACACACACTGCACTACATACATACACTGGTTATGGAGGCTGCCTATGGAGCTTCCCCGTGCAGAGAAATGCTGGCTTGGGTTTAAAATGGGATATAATTAACATTTTTAGAGCATTTGAGTTTTAAAAGTGTCTTCAGAGACTTGATTTTTAAAAAGTCTTATTAGGGGATTTTAAACAACTGATGTAATAGCTTTTTTAAAAGGAATCTTGCTGAATTAAAATAGCGAGTCTAATTACTCGGATTCTGAACTCCCTGTTTTTTAACCACAAAAAAAGTATTTTTAATTGCGCCCTCGTTTTTTTCCCCCACTGGAACCCTGAAACAAGTTGTTCCTGAACTTCTGCCAGTTGCGGATGGGCCGTTTCTCGCTCACGTGTTGAGCTGCCAGGCGGGGCGTGCGCACACTGTGTTCTCTGCTGCGCGCCCGGTGGTCCCGGTGCGGGTCTCCTGGTCACCTGTGGGCCACTGGGAGGGACGCGCCCACACGCTCCGGCCGCGCCCTGGACAGCTGCGGGGCGGTGGGCCGCTCCAACGCCGTGCATCTTCTGCAGGCTGAGATGCGGTTGCTCCTGCTCCTGCTGCTGCTGCTCGCTCCAGCGCCCGGGTCCTCGGTGAGTGCAGCCCTGCCCCGCCCCCGGGAGGACTCTGCCGGGGAGGCGCGGGCGGGGACGCGCGGGCCCGCAGGCTGCGTTCCCAGGAAAGGGGTGATGTCTGGGAAGACGGGCTGGGAGGAGGCGAACCCGTACCGCTGAGCTCCTTGAGAAAGGGCTGGGCCCTTCAACCGGCTGGCTAGGGTGACCAGAACTGCCCGCCTGGCCTCTGGCGCAGTTTGTTGGGGTGGCACCTTCCCAGGGCTTCCCTCCTTGAGAAGGTGGTGGGAGCTCTCCAGAGCTGGGTGGTCTTCCAAGGTGGAAGGACAGGTTGGGGGCAATGCTGGGGCCAGCCAAAGTGCAGGACTGGGTGGCCCATCCCACCAGACACCTGTCTTCTGCCTGGAGCAGAACACGGCTTCCCCTAAGCTGGGGTGTTTGGACCTAGAGGTTTGAGTGCCAGTTTTTTTCCTTTCCCCTTGGGGTAGCACCTAGGGCAGGGCTGTCCCTTGGAACCTTCTGAGATGGTGGAACTGTTCTGTGTCTCTGCTGTCCAGTAAGTAGCCCCTATGTTCAGTGAGCACTTGCAATGTAGATGAAATGAGTTTTAATTTCACTTGACTTTAAATTTATTTTTAAATTGTTTAAATATTTATTTATTTTTGAAACACAGTCTCACTATGTTGCCCAGGCTGGAGAGTACTGGCATGGTTTGGGCTCACTGTAATCTCCACCTCCTGGGATTAAGCAGTTCTTCTGCTTAGTCTCCTAAGTAGCTGGGACTCCAGGCGTGTGCCCCGGCGCCTGGCCATAATTAATTTAAACAGTCACACGTGGCTAGTGGCTACCGTATTAGACTGCAAATTGAGACAGTGGACACAGGAAGCTGGATGGGGTCAGAGCTGCTGTTTCATTAACAGGGGCCCAAAGGCCAGGGCTCTCTGGAGAAGGTCCCTGGATCTTGAAGATGCACAGGGAAGCTTCTAGACCACAGGTCCCACCTTTGGGGAGGAGAGGGTCTGTAGAGTTGGGTGCCACCCTGGCTCAGTGCCTGGGAGAATAGAAGCCACAGAGGCACCTGGGCCCTGTCCTACTCCAGAAGAAATCTCCCAGGGTGACCCACAGCCCTGCCCACCCCTCTGTGAGGTGGGTGGGAGGTAAGAGAGGAAGGATCCCTGTGAAAGGACCCAAACTATTTTCTGCCTTGGGGAGGGCAGGGGGAAATGCCACGTCTGGCATCTGTGGGTGGAGGCTGAGAAGGGCATCTCTGCAGGGGTGTGTAGGGCAGGCAGGATAGATGGCAGCGGTGGGCATCAGGCACTTCTCCAAGAGCCGGTGAACCCAACATGGGCCACAGCTGGAGTGGTGGGTGGGCCAGCGCCAGCCTTTTTCATGTCCTCTCCACTACCTGCCAGCTTCCCACAGTCCCCTCTGCCACCCCATGAACCTAGCTCCATAATGCCACTCTCAGGTCCTTCAGCATGTGCTTGTGGCCCAGCTGCATGAAGGCCAAAGCCCAGGTGGAGGGGGCAGCCGGACAGTGTCCAGGCCCTGGGATTAAATCCAGAGCCACTGCAGCAGCTGCGTGACCCTAGGCAAATCATCAAGCCTTAGATTGCTCTAATTTGGGGGTAATAATACCCACCCCAGGGGCTGTCATGCAGATGAAACAAATCAAGGTTTCCAAAGCGCCCTGGGTCCTATTAAATCCTTTCTTCCTTAGAAATGCCCTGAGTAAGGCTGGGCATGGTGGCTCACACCTGTAATCCCAACACTTTGGGAGGCTGAGGTGGGTGGATCACGAGGTCACGAGATTGAGACCATCCCGGCCAACACGGTCAAACCCTGTCTCTACTAAAAATACAAAAAATTAGCCAGGCATGGTGGAGCGCACCTGTAATCCCAGCTACTTGGGAGACTGAGGCAGGAGAATCAATTGAACCTGGGAAGCGGAGGGTGCAGTGAGCCAAGATTGCGCCATTGCACTCCAGCCTGGATGACACAGTGAGACTGACTCAAAAAAAAAAACCAAAACAACACCCTGCATAGCCCCTGAGCCTCAGGTGGGGCTGGGCATGGCCTGGGCTGAGAACTCTTCTCACCCTGCCCTCTATGAGTCTGCAGGGGGCGTGGCCGCACTCACAGCTCCCCTGCCTCCCTCCGTCACTGGAGCAGGAGCCACCCTGTCGAGAACCTTCTCTGGATCACTTAGTGCTGCCAGGGGTCAGCCTGAACAGAATGAGTAGATGAATCAAGGTGGCGGCCTGCGTGTGCCTGGGCCTCAGCCTCTCTTCCACCTGCACGTGGATGTGCATGCATTCTGTCTCACACACACACACACCACGCTGGGCAGTTGATTCCTCGGGAAATAGTGTGCAGCAGGAAAGGGGACTCCTGAGTGACTCCAGGTGGGAGTTGGAGGAGGCATGGGCGGGGCTCCTAGAGCAACTTGAGACAGGTGAGGACAGGCCCCAGGTGAGGCTGGATCAGCTCATTCCAGCTTCACACCACGTTGGGCAGTTCATGGTTTGAGTAATTACAGAGCAACAGTGTGCTCGTGTTGCCTGTGGCTGAAGGTGCTTTCCTTCCTCAAGAGACAGTGTGGAGTGCGTGAACAGGGCACAGCTCGAGGGTGGGATGGGATGGGCTAGGGCTCCTGGCTAGTGAACACCTCCCTCACAGGGGCCTCACAGGTGCTGGGCACAGGAAACAAGAAGGTATTCTGGAAACAGCACGCCCATTAGGGGGCCCTTGTTCAGGTCAGTCCTGCCCCCTCCTTATCCTGATGGCCAGGTGGTGGCTCCATGGCAGGGGTACCCCTTGTTGCCTTGGCCACACCAGTATGCCAACCCCAGCTCCGGAGAAGGGTGGATTTTGCTGGTTGCTGTGCAAGAAGCCAAGAGACATCCAAACAGGCCTTGGTCAGAGGGTAATTGACAGCCAGGCCCGGGCCAGCAGCTAAGAAAGAGCCATTCCTGAAGACCTCTCCTGAATACCTAAAATGTGGGATGAGGCTGCGTGTGGGGCGGGGGCTGCTGGAATCCCACCTGGGACTGCAGGGAGTCCTTTTCTCTGGAAAGTCACCGTCCGCTCTCAACACTCAGTATCTGCCCTTGTGAAACTGAAACTTGATCCAAGTAAATTTCAGTTTAACTTTCATTGAGAGAACACTTTGAAGTTTTGGCTCACGGTTTTGAAAGCTTAGAGATTTTTGTCCCAGTTAGAACTGAAGGAGTAGATGATTTTACAAAGCGAAAGCTAAGAGCTTTCGTCCAGCCAGCACTTCCTTCTTGGTTGTGTGTGTGGTTCGGCAAGCTTAGCGTGGTTTGTTCTGATTCAGGGTTCTAGGTTTGTAATAAGACCAGGATAACTCAATGTTTGGCACAGGATGTTAGAGGTTAGTAAACCTCCTTCCTCACCTGCGATCCAGGGAAGCTGCTCTGGGCTCACCACGGAGGGAAGGGCCCGCTTTTCTATGTGACCACTGAGCTCTTTCTCTGAAAAGTGGGAATGGTATTTTTCCTTGAGATTCTTATGTGGTGATACTCTTAAAAAAAAAAAAGTCCCCTTCCAGCAAATGTTTGCATGTACACCATATGCCTCCTGGCAAAATTGTGAAGTTACATCTAATTCCTGTTTAACCCTGTAGGGAATCATCTAGTGTCTTATTTGATTCCCCCAGGGAGGTGGAGGCACAGCCCCAGCAGGGGAGCAGAGGCCTGCGGTGAGGCTGGCTGGCCACTGTGCCCACTTCTTCCTCTGTGGCTTCCTCTCTCTGCCTCACTTTTCTCATCCATGCAATGGGATCTGTTGGGTTGTGAGGATGAAATGAGATAATATATGTGTGTGGCATGTGGATTTCTGATGCCAGCTGCAAGGGGTCCGATCTCTCTGGTAGGAAAGTGTATCTGTTAGGATCATAATCCTGTGTGGCATCCCAAGTTAACAGTTCTTCAACAAGACAGACATGATTCCTCTCTCATGTAAACACCCAGGAGTTGGAAGCCTGGGCCGATTCTGTCGCACAACATCCTCCAGGCTCTAGAGTCTTTTCTATCTTTGCTTCACTGTTTGAAGCCTCTATTTCCAAGTTACTTCACAGTCTAAAAGGCTGCTGCAACTCCAGCCATCACATCTGCTTTCCAGACAGCCTAAAAGAGTACAGAAGGAAGAAGAAAAGGACAGATGCTCATGCAGCCTCTCTTAAGGAGGTTACTAGCGGCAGCTGCCCAGTGCTCACTAACGAGAACTAAGTGACGTAGCCAGTTAGCTGCAGGAAGTCTAAAATGTATTTTTTTTAAATTTTGGGTAGCCAGGCACCCAGCTGAGTCAAGTTTTCAAGGGTTCTTTGACAATGGGAGGAGGGGATGAATATTGGGGTACTCCTGGGAGTCTGCCACAGATTAGCAGGATCCCCCCATGTTGTTTCCCTTTTTAGGGCCTCCTCCCCTACATCACTGTTAACCCACAAATACCTGGGCCCTCAAACTGCCCGTGGCTGTGGGGTCCCTCACTCCAGTGGCCCCTAAAACTCCAAACTCTTCCCAGCTGCCTCTCAGCTCCTTATGAGGAAAGCAGGCTAATTCTGAAAAGGAGTATGTTTTGGGGTGCCAGGCAGTGTTGCCAAGTCCTAAAGGCTGGCCCCAGAAGGGAGAATCCCAGGCTCCTTGATGGGTGGGGAGTGTTTTTAGGCAGAGCGCCCTGTGGGGCCCCCGGGGCTCAGGCTCTGAGTTGGCACTGCTGATGCGTGGTCCTGTCTTCTGCAGGCTCCCAAAGCGAGGTGGCAGAGTGACACCTGGGGACCTTGGGGCCAGTGGAGCCCCTGCAGCCGGACCTGTGGAGGGGGCATCAGCTTCCAGGAGCGCTCCTGCTACTCCCAGAGGTAGGAGAGATGAAAATGGTCTGGCTTGTTAAAAGAGGGCAGGAGCAGGAGATGCTGGCTTCTGAGTGGCGGGCTGGGTGATCATGGCCTAGGCCAGCCCTGGCCACACCAGCAGAACCCACCAAGCAGCATATTCATTCTGGAAGCAACATCAGTGCAGCACAGGACATCAAACAATTTCCCAGGGCCTTCCACTCGGGGCTGGAGCACAGGTGCTGCCTGTGGCCTGCCCCCCACCCCTCTCCGGCTCTTGATGCTGCACCTGCCTGTCGTATTGCAGGTGCAGTCAATTTCGGTGGAATTAGTGAATAATCTTCAACCGGCAATTCCCAACTCCTGTGGTTTCTTTGCCGAGTATAGATGTTCCTCACTTCAAGCGGTTTACTAAGTGCTTGCTGTGTGTGCTGCAGTCTAGCAGGGTCAGTGGAGGAGGTGGGGCACAGAAGGGGTCCTGAGGCTCCTCTGTCCTGGTTTGTTAAGGGGTTGCTCCTGAGAACCCTATGTGAGGAGGAAGAGAGACCAGGAATTATTCTAAGAGCCTTATACTGATGTCCTGCTTAGATGGCAGGATGGCGGTACCAAGTGGGTGGGTATTACATCTCAGGCACCTTGGGTCTTCTCTGGGAATCTGCCTTAAGAGGCAGTGGAGTGGTCCTGCCTTAAATCTACAGGGTGGTGGAGCGCTGAGTCCTGCTTTTCCCGAGTACCAACACGGGCCGCCCACGGCCACCCAGGGAATTCATGGGGTGGGGGCGGGGGGCACCCTCTCACCTCGCTGCTCCCACTGGAGAGTCCCGCAGAAGTTGAGGCCTGCAGGGAGCCCCAGGACAGGGGTTGGGGGCGTGAGCTCTCAGGCTAGTCTGCGTCTTCCCGGTGCTCTGGTCGTAGGAGAGATGGAGGCTCCAGCTGCGTGGGCCCCACCCGGAGCCACCGCTCTTGTCGTACGGAGGTAAAGCCCATGGGGCGCGGGCGAGGGCACCAGCTCCCTAAGCCCCTCCCGGACGACGTCCCCACCTGGATGCCCGCCCCTGGCCTGGGCTGCTCGGTTATCCCAGCCTGGGGTCCTCCTGCCTGTCCACAGCAGGGCTGTGTGGGGACCCTGCACCCCTACCCCCCGGGGACTGGCCTTGCCCTCCCCAGCCTCAAGCACCTGGAGGTGCGTGCATGGGAGATGGGGCGGGGTGAGGGGGGAACTTCACCTCCGGAGGCTCAGACGGGCCGGGTGAGGGAGACTCCCGGGCTTCCTGGGCGGTGGGCGGACCTCGGACTCCGCCTCCTGGACCCCGACTTCCCCTCCGCCCGCCCGGCAGAGCTGCCCCGACGGCGCCCGTGATTTCCGGGCCGAGCAGTGCGCGGAGTTCGACGGTGTGGAGTTCCAGGGGCGGCGGTACCGGTGGCTGCCCTATTACGGCGGTGAGCACGGTGGGACTCCCTCTCCCGGGGTCTCTTGTAGACGTTGATGCCACAGTTCCTATTGCCGTATTATAGAGGCGTTGTCAAACATACACATTTTTAGAGACAGTCTGGCTATGTTGCCCAGGCTGGTCTTGAACTCCTGGGCTCAAGGGATTCCCCCCCGCCCCCCGCCGCGACTTCCCAGGGTGCTGGGATTGCAGGTGCTGTGGCTCACAGTATACAGGGAATCTCCTAGACCACAGGACCCACCTTCCGGGAGAGATGGAGGCTTGAGTGCAGCAGTGCCATGTCGGCTGAGCAGCCCCGACCTCCCAAGCTCAATCAATCCTTCCACCTCAGCCTCCCAAATAACTTTTTTAAAAATACGGAATGCTTCATAAATTTGCCTGCTCAGGGGTCAGGGACTGTGCTAATCTCTTATCATTCTAGTTTTAGTATATGTGCTGCCAGAGCCAGCATGTGTCAAATACACCATCAATCAACCCGTAAAGAATCACCAGTACCCTGCTCCCCCGCCCCCACATGCCCATGGCAACCCGATGGCAGCCATTTTGAGGTCTTTCCATCCTTTCTCCCCTTAGGTATGTACATTTTCAAACAAAGCTATGCTATGTCTGCACCATTTTGAGCCTGTTTTTGCTCAGTCTGCTGTGGGAAGCGTTCCTCCTGTCACAGAGAGACGGAGGTGGGGAGCACCAGGAGCAGTAGGAATGGTATCACCAGGTCATCCTGGAGGAGGGATTGGAGGAGCTTGGTACACCATGACCTCATTTACCGAGGATCGGCGGCCAAAGGAGATGGTCTGAGTACCTCTGAGGAGGGTATAAGTAATGTTTAGAGAAATACAGTTCAGGAAAAAAAACAGCCCCATAAGCACCACCATGTATGTCATTAAGCATTTTAGATGAGTCAGAAGGTTCCTCAAGACAACTCTTCTGAGTTTCTGTTTTTCCTGCTTGCTGCAAATGACCTCTGGAGACCCCATGGCACTCTGGATTCCAGATCAATGAGCACTCATATCCTCTGTGTGTTGTGGGGTTTGTGGCTTGGTGTGGCCCCAGTGGAACTCTTTAGCTTTCAGTATTCCCCCTGGATCCTGAAGTGGACACATGTCAAAAATAGAGTATATTCACACGATAGAAACATTGGAAGACAGAGGGAAGTCTAGAAAGATAGTAGAGGGATGCCGTCAGTGGTGTGGAGATGACTAGGATCCTATTTGCACTTTGGGGCTGTTTTAAAATGTGTATATGTTGAGATAAATATAAAAATTAAGGTTGAATGCAGTGGCTCATGTCCGTAATCCCAGCACTTCGGGAGGCTGAAGTGGGAGGATCAGTCAAACCCAGGAGTTTGAGACAAGCCTGGGCAGCATGGCGAAACCCTCTCTCTACAAAAAATACAAAGATGAGCCAGGCATGTGGGCACACGAATGTAGTCCCAGCTATTCAGAAGGCTGAGGTGAGAGGATCACTTGAGCCCAGGAAGTTGAGGCGGAAGCGAGCCAATGTCACACCACTGCACTCCAGCCCAAATGACAGAGTGAGACTTTGTCTCCAAAAGAAAAAAAAAAATGAAAACCAGGCCAGGTGCAGTATCTCCTGCCTGTAATTCTGGTGCTTTGGGGGGCTGAGGCAGGAGGAACATTTGAGCCCAGGAGTTTGAAACCAGCCTGGGCACTGTAGGCAGACCCTATCTCTACAAAAGTAAAATTAGCTGGGCATGGTGGCATGTGCCTATAGTCCCAAATATTTGAGAGACTGAGACTGGAGGACCACTTGAGTCTGGGAGGTGGAGGCTGCAGTGAGCTTTGATCGTGCCTCTGCATTCCAGCCTGGGAGACAGAGTGAGATCTTATCTGAAAAACTTTAAAACCAGAAAAAAGTTACCCTCATCCTGCCCCTTTCACAAGATCACTGTTAGCATTTCATTTTCGCTCTTCTCACATTATTTTCTCCATATAGGCTTACATATTTGTATTATTGCACATTAATTACCATTTTGCATTCTGTGTTTTAAGCATCTTCCCACACTGTATAGGCTTCACAATCATCATTTGTAACTGCAAAGTCACCATGTGTAATATTCCATTGATAGATAATTTATTTAAAGAGCAGCATGTTGTGGCCGGGCGAGGTGGCTCACGCCTGTAATCCCAGCACTTTGGGAGGCCGAGGTGGGCAGATCACCCGAGGTCAAGAGTTCGAGACCAGCCTGGCCACCATGGTGAAACCCCGTCTCTACTAAAAGTACAAAAAGTAGTCAGGCATGGTGGTGTGCACCTGTAATCCCAGCTACTCAGGAGGCTGAGGCAGTAGAATCGTTTGAACCGGGGAGGCAGAGATTGCAGTGAGCCGAGATCGTACCACTGCACGCCAGCCTGGTGACAAGAGCAAAACTCCAGGCCGGGCGCGGTGGCTCACGCTTGTAATCCCAGCACTTTGGGAGGCCGAGGCGGGTGGATCACGAGGTCAAGAGATCGAGACCCTCCTGGTCCACATGGTGAAACCCCGTCTCTACTAAAAATACAAAAAATTAGCTGGGCATGGTGGTGCGTGCCTGTAATCCCAGCTACTCAGGGGGCTGAGGCAGGAGAATTGCCTGAACCCAGGAGGCGGAGGTTGCGGTGAGCCGAGATCGCGCCATTGCACTCCAGCCTGGGTAACAAGAGCGAAACTCCGCCTCCAAAAAAAAAAAAAAAAAAAAAAAGCGCAAAACTCCATCTCAAACAAACAAACAAACAAAAACCCTGTTGTAACCACTCAGCCATGGTAAATAATGCTGACGTAGACTTCTTTAAGTGCTTCACTTTGTGCTGATTCGGGGATTTTTTTCTTCAACTTGATCCTTAGAGGTACAACAGATTCATGGAGACTGTCCTTTCTCCTTGGGATGGGGCAGGGATCTGTGCCCCCCACCCCACTGTGGGGGCTGCTGCGGGCCTTTCTGACCCCCCACTTCCCTGTTGCGAGGGAAGGCCTTGGGCCCTGGGTTGGCCATCATCCAACCTCAGAATCTCAGTCTTGCTTCCTGCCTACTCCAGCCCCAAACAAGTGTGAACTGAACTGCATTCCCAAGGGGGAGAACTTCTACTACAAGCACAGGGAGGCCGTGGTCGATGGGACGCCCTGCGAGCCTGGCAAGAGGGACGTGTGTGTGGACGGCAGCTGCCGGGTGAGTAGTGCCCCAGTGCCTCCCCTGCCTTGGGGCTGGCTGCGGGCTCAGTACGGGAGTTTCCCTGTCCATCACCCACAGGTCCAGGTAGCTGCCATGAACTTGGTGCCTTCTCAAGTTATCAGGACACCAAGCCCAGCTCCTGGTGTCCCTTGCAGCCATCACAGATGCCCTATGGCCCCTCGCTTTCATCCTTGGAGAATGCTAGCCCCACAATGAGAGAAACCCTCTGGGTGGCAGAAACCCAGCTAAAACTGACTTCAGAAAAACAAACAGCGAGGGGCAGCCGTAGGTGCATGAATGAAGTGCTGCTTGGCTTTCCTCTCTGTGGGTCCAGCATCAGATCAGGCCGGTTCTTTCCAGGAGGCGTGGAGGTGGCCTCCAGCTGCTCTGGGCTTCTCTGGCAGCCTGGCCACTCCCAGGGAAAGGGGGCCTCGTTCTCAGGAGCTCCAGCCACCAGGGGTTGCCTCTGGTTTGTCTTGGCTTGGGACTTACCCTGAACCACTCCGACCTGCCCAAACCCACATTTGGGGGAGCTCCATTCAGACTCTGCAGAAGAGAGGTTTCCCTAAAGGAAAACGGCATCATTACCAGACGAGGGGAGATGGGAGTTGAGCAGACAGAGAAGTGATTGTCAGCCACAGGCCAGTCCCCTCGTGACTGAACCACTCCTGACCACCCTGTTCTGCCTGGGCTGTGCGGGTGCTGGGGTTAGGATGCGATGGGGCCCAAGCCTGACATGGCCATGATGCCATCTCCCATGCCTCCTGCATCTCTGCCCCCAGGTTGTCGGCTGTGACCACCAGCTGGACTCGTCCAAGCAGGAGGACAAGTGTCTGAAGTGCGGGGGTGACGGCACGACCTGCTACCCTGTCACAGGCACCTTTGACGCTAATGACCTCAGCCGAGGTGGGGGTGGTTCCAACAAAGGGCTGTTGCCTGCCCCTTCTTTGCCTGTCCCTGCTCCGGCCTAGGCTCCAGGCCAAGTGGCCCTCGTGGCACCGGAAGGCTCTGACCATATCAGGTCACATCTGAAAGGCCCCTGTGGGCTTCGGACCCTTGCCCACTCATGCAGTCCACCTCCCTCTCCCACTGCCTGGATGGCCTCCCCATCCCTTCCCTCTCTCAGTCTGCTCCAGGTGCCCTGAACTTTCTGCCACCCTGGCTTTTGCACAGCAGCTTCCTCTGCCAGGGTTACCGTTCCCAGCAGCTCGGCCCTGCCTGCTCCTGCGTATCCTCTTGCTCCCATTCTGTGCTGCATGGCACTGGAGTCCTTGGGGGCTGCCCTTTCCTGTCATTTGAGGGTGCCAGGGTGGGGTAGCTCAGTACCCCCAGCCGGCATCTCTGCTCCCACCAGGCTACAACCAGATCCTCATAGTTCCCATGGGTGCCACCAGCATCCTCATCCAGGAGGCTGCTGCCAGCAGGAACTTTCTGGGTGAGAGCCTGGGTTGGGTCCTGGGCAGGTTTGGGGCTACAGGGGGAGGTGCCGTGCTGCCTGCCCCCACCACTCTGGCTGACTGAGGCCGTCTCCTCTGCGCAGCCGTGAAGAATGTTCATGGGGAATACTACCTCAATGGGCATTGGACCATCGAGGCGGCCCGGGCCCTGCCGGCAGCCAGCACCATCCTGCATTACGAGCGGGGTGCTGAGGGGGACCTTGCCCCCGAGCGGCTCCATGCCCGGGGCCCCACCTCGGAGCCCCTGGTCATTGAGGTAAACAGGGCTGTGGGGAGAGAGGGCAAGTGGGCAGCACGTGGTCCCCAAGAGGCTGCCAAGCTCTGCAATGGGGGTTGAGTGGCTCTGGGCCTGTGGCTGGCAGGGGCTGTGGGGCTGTGGAGGTTGTGGAGTGCCCCCCAGCAGCAGACCCCAACCAGGACCCTCCCGTGGCAGCTCATCAGCCAGGAGCCCAACCCCGGCGTGCACTACGAGTACCACCTGCCTCTGCGCCGCCCCGGCCCCGGCTTCAGCTGGAGCCACGGCTCCTGGAGTGACTGCAGCGTGGAGTGTGGCGGAGGTGCGGGCGTGGATGGCAGGGGAGGGCATGGCCCTGTGTGCCGGGCCGCGACCATGTGGGCAAGTCACAGCCCTCTCTTCAAAGGCAGTCCCTTGCAGGGAGATGGACAAGTAGGCGAGAAATCTCTGTATTATGGGGGTCACTTTGAGGAAAACCCAGTGATCTGGGGACTCCATGAAGGACCCCAGCCTAAATGAATAGAACCAGAGGGGGCTTCCCAGAGGCAGTGGCCTCTCATAGGAGACACACTCCATCAGGAGCGGAGGCAGGGCCTGGGGTCAGTGATCAGGGGCCAGAGCAGGGCTCTGTCACTCACAGAGAAAACTCTGAGGCTCAGTTTCCTCATCTGTCAACTGGGGATGATGTGGCACCTGCCTCAGGGGGTCATCTGAGACTGAATGGGGATGAGCTGCGGGGTGAGTGCAGGATGGCCTTGGGAAGGTGCTTGATGAATGTTGACTGGTGGCTGCCCACCGCGGCTGGGCCTCTGCACAGGCCACCAGTCCCGCCTGGTGTTCTGCACCATTGACCATGAGGCCTACCCAGACCACATGTGCCAGCGCCAGCCACGGCCGGCTGACCGCCGCTCCTGCAACCTTCACCCTTGCCCGGAGACCAAGCGGTGAGGCCTTGCCAGCCCCTCTACCCGTGATGGGGTCCCAGAACTTGGTGGGAAGGGAACAGGGCTTCCAAGCTGCTTTAGGTGTAGGACAAAGAGTTGGGGGGTCCAGGGCTCCCCACGCCATGGCCGGGGGGTGGGGGAGGTGGCAGCTATTCCTGAGGGAGGCAGAGAATGGGCCTGAGCCCAGGGCTGGTATCTCTGCCCTCTCATGACCACGAAGTACTCAACGCCCACACTGGTGGCAGGAGGGTTTGGGAAGGTTCCAGAGGTCCCTGTCTGTCTGAGCCAGCGGAGGACTTGGCTCAGCAGATGCTGATGGGTGGGCCAGGGGTCGGGCCCATGGGCATGTTGGCACTGGCCATGCCTTTGTTCGTGCACAAAGGGCCTCTTACCTGCACCGGCCTGGAGCGTGGCACCTTGCTGGGGCCCGGCGAGTGTGTGGGAACAGGTAACCTGCAGGTCACAGGCTCCCCTCAGGGCTGGCTCCACCCCATCACCGCCTGGCATTGGTGACAGCGGACCTCCTGGGATGGTGGCGGGCTAGGCTTTGCATGGGGCCTCAGGGCTGCTTTTCCTCTGGGTCCTTGCACGTGCGGCCTGGTAGAGCCACTCCACGCATGGGTGAGCACAGCCTCCCCGGAGCTGCCCCTGACTAAGGTCAGGCCAAGAGGAATGGAGTCTGACTGGGAGACAGGGACCTGGCGGGAAGGAGAAAGGGGTGTGGGGTGGGGACAGGAAAGCCAGGGGGAGGCTCAGGGCTCCGAGTAGTGGGGAGCGCTCAGAGAGCCAGGCTTGGTGCTGGGATGCTAAGGAGCGCCTGAGTCCTAGTCTTTGTTCAGGCCGGAGGTTCAGAGGATGGGCTGGGGTGGGGGCCTGGGCCACCTGTGTGAGTGAGGGCTTGTGCCCCTTGGGGCTGGGCTTTGGCCCGTGCTCCTGGAGCAACCTTACCTGAGTCTCCCTCCTGCCAGCTGGAAGTCAGGGCCGTGGGGGTCCTGCTCGGCCTCCTGCGGAGGAGGCTCCCAGTCCCGCCTGGTGTTCTGCATCTCGTCTGACGGGGCTGGAGTCCAGGAGGCGGTGGAGGAGGCTGAGTGTGCCGGGCTGCCTGGGAAGCCCCCTGCCGTGCAGGCCTGCAACCTGCAGCGCTGCGCTGCCTGGAGCCCAGAGCCCTGGGGAGAGGTGAGCCCCTGGCCTGGGTGGGGCTGGTGCTGGGCTTGGGCAGCAGCAGAGCAGGTTGGGCTGTCCTCTGTGGTGGGAACTGAGGTCCTGGGAGGTAAAGTGACCTGCCAGGTCACCTTGGAAGCTTCGGCCAAGGCTGGAACCAGCAAGTACCTGGATGGCTGGCCCAGGGCTCCTCCTCTTTCTCCGGGATCCCAGGGCAGGGCAGGAAAGGCATAGGCAGGAAGAAGCTGGGTATGTTGCTTGGGGCAAGGGAGGGGCTGGCAGTATCTAGGCTGCCAGTCATTGCTTCCAGCACCTACATATGTTCCAGTTGCAAATGGGTGGAAAACACGAATGGGCGACAACCTCAGTCTGTAGCCATGTTTCAGGCCTTGTGACCTCGGGGGTGACTCAGCTTCTCTGGGCCTGGGAAAAACATGGGCAGTTGAGTGCTGTCTGCCTCCACACCAGGCTGGCAGGCTCCTAGCTGTCCAACCTGGCGTGGCTCCTCAGCGCAGGGGGGAGCTCCTGCTGACAGCCCTGTCCTTACAGTGTTCTGTCAGCTGCGGTGTCGGCGTCCGGAGGCGGAGTGTCACTTGCCAGGGTGACGGGGGTTCTTTGCTCCATACCGCAGCATGCTCCTTGGAAGACCGGCCACCTCTCACTGAGCCCTGTGTGCATCAGGACTGCCCCCTCCTCAGTGACCAGGCCTGGCATGTTGGCGCCTGGGGTCTAGTGAGTGCTCTCCACCCCCCACCTGCTACCTGACCCGGCATGTGGCTGCACCCGAGCGCCATCCTTGGATTTGACCTGTACCAGTGGGCACCTTCCCCTGCCTCTCTCCATGTGGGTCCTCACCCCCACCCCCACCATTACCCTCACCCTCATCCTCAGGGTCTCTCTCTCCCACCCGTGGGCCTCAGTGCTCCAAGAGCTGCAGCTCGGGCACTCGGAGGCGACAGGTTATCTGTGCCATTGGGCCGCCCAGCCACTGTGGGAGCCTGCAGCACTCCAAGCCTGTGGACGTGGAGCCTTGTAACACGCAGCCCTGTCATCTTCCCCAGGGTAAGGACAGGAGGCCAGGGAGGAGCCTGGCCCCACCTCTCTCCCCATCGATATATACCCAGCAAGCACGACCTGCCTCGGGGCTTCTGCCTGCACCATGTCCTCCCTCTGGACCCTGCTTCCCCCACATCTCCCCGCGCTGAAGCCTTTGCCATCCTTAAGGCCTGCCTCGCGTGCAGCCCACCAGCCAGCCTTGCTTTCCTCCACCCAGCAGTAGCATGCTCCCTGCCCCTCCGGCCCTCACTGTATGCTGTCATTTCTGTGGGACACTTAGATTTGTTTCCTTGTGCTGCGCGTGGTGGCTCATGCCTGTAATCCCAGCAGTTTGGGAGGCTGAGGTGGGCAGATCACCAGGTCGGGAGATTGAGGCCATCCTGGTCAACTTGGTGAAACCCTATCTCTACTAAAAATACCAAAAAAAAAAAAAAAAAAAAAAATTAGCTGGACATGGTGGCACATTCCTGTAATCCTGGCTACTCAGGAGGCTGAGGTAGGAGAATCACTTGGAACCAGGGAGTTGGAGGTTGCAGTGAGCCAAGATCGTGCCACTGGACTTCAGCCTGGCAACAGGAAGAGACTACGTCTCAAAAAAAAAAAAAAAGATTTGTTTCCTTGTGCTGCTGTGGTTGTTTATGGCTTGTTAGACCTACTCACTATAAGCTTCTTGAAGAGCAGGTCCCCAACTTCCACATTCCTCTTTACACCACCATAGAGCTTACACAGCTAGGTACTCAGTGAAGGTTTGTTGAATGACTGAGTGACTGAGTGCTGAGAGAGGGAGGCAGTCCAGGAAGGATTGTCTTCCACATGCTGCTGCTGCCTCTGTTTTCTTTCCGTCATCGCCATCCTGCTGTGAAAGGAGCCTTACAGGCATGAGGACCTGCTGGAGAAAGGGCACTGAGGCCAGTGTTTGCCTGGTGTGTGGATGCCACATTGAGGAAGGGTGTGGGTTGTGGCTGAGCTGGGGATGGCGCTAGAGAGGTGGCCTTCTGATACTGCAGGGAGGCATGTTTGGCCTTGACTCACTCGTGCTGGGGACTCTCAAGTGATTCTCATGCCTCAGCCTTCTGAGTAGTGGGACTACAGGTGTGCACCACCATGCCCAGCTAATTTAAAAAAAAAATTTATATCCTGAACTGTAGGGACCTTGAGGTGAGGGAAGGCAGAATTTCTATGAGCCATGTTACGGGGAGGCTAAGAACCAGTGGCCTCAGAGTCAACATCAGACTTGGGTTCCGATCTGTAAGTTGTGTGGCGTTGGCAAGTGCTCCGCCTCTGATTCTCAGTTTGCACATCTGGACAGTGGGGCTAAGAAGAGTGACTTTCCAGACTTGCGGTGGGTCATGTGGCAACATGCCTCAGCATGTGGAGTGCTTGCTAGGCGGGAGGCGGGAAAGTAGTGGTAGTGAGGCTGTGCTGGGACTCACTGACCATCCGCAGGGGCCCTGGTGCCTCAGCCGGGGCCTGGTCCTTTGGGCTCACCAGCGGGAGAGCCGTGGACACTCAGGGTCCAGCTCTGCGTGAAGCCAGTCTGTTCCCCAGGGCCTTGTTGGCTTCTAAAAGAGTTGGTCTTAAGCCTATCCCAGGGACTGGCAGGACTCATATAGAAAGGAAGAAAAAGGGCTGGGGGGAGGTTTAATCCCAGCCTATAATCCCAACACTTTGGGAGGCTGAAGTGGGAGGATCGCCTGAAACCAGGAGTTCGAGACCAGCCTGGGCAATATATCTGAACTAGAAATTATTTTTAAAAAATTAGCCAAGCATGGACCGGGCGCAGGGGCTTATGCCTGTAATCCCAGCACTCTGGGAGGCTGAGGCAAGAAGATCACTTGAGGCCAGGAATTCGAAACTAGCCTGGAACATGGCAAAACCCCATCTCTACTAAAAATACAAAAATTAACCAGATGTGGTGGCGGGCGCCTGTAGCCCCAGCTACTTGAGAGGCTGAGGCATGAGAAGTGCTTGAGCCCAGGAGGCAGAGGTTGCAGTGAGCTGAGATTGTACCATTGCACTCCAGCCTGGGCAACAGAGAGAGAGAAAAGAAAAAATTAGCCGGACGTGGTGGTATGTGCCTGTAGTCCCAGTTAGTTGGTAGCCTGAGGTGGGTGGACCACCTAAGCCCAGGAGTTTGAGGCTGCAGTGAGCTGTGATTGCAGCACCACACCCCAGCCTTGGCAATGGAGTGAGACCCTGTCTCTTTAAAAATAATAAAAATATGTTTTTAAAAAAAAGAAATGGAAAAGATAGTTTCAGGGCATAAAAGAAATAAGCTTTATTGCTATCCTTTTTTGTTGTCTTGGTCAGCAAAATACTGTATACTTTCTTTTTTTTTTTTTTTTTTT